TCAATTGATGAGAAAAAAACAGAGAGACTGGATTTTGAGTTCCCTGTAAAGTCTAGCAGTGGCTTTTCTGGATATGCTGGTCATAGGCAAGCTAGATGTTTAAAGAGTCTTAGATCTTTGCATACCAGGAAGAAGTGCACAAGCACGCATATGTGTGTATATGTGTGATTCTTTTTTTTTGTCAAGAACATTTTGCTTTACACATTTTTGTACATTATGGTTTTCATTAACTTTCCTGGTTTTTTTTTTCCTCTGAAACAAACCCTAACATTGAATAGATATTTGAAGAAATTAATTAGTTTTGTATCATGAATAAATAGCAAAGGATAGTGATTATGCCCCAGGGAACTCCTGCCTACCATTTACCAATGAATTTGAAACTGTTATGTGCCATTGAGTCACCCACGACCCATAGCAACACTAAGTACAGCAGCTCTGAACCCTTCTCTGTCCTCAGCCAGTCTCACTGATTCCAACACATCCACTCCCATTGCCCCAGTTACTGTATCAATCCGTCTTGTATCTGGCTTCTTCCTCTCCTGCACTGACTATCCACCCTCCAAATTAAGATGTCCTCTCCAAGGACTGATCTTTCCTGTCCACGTGCCCAAAGTATATGAGACGGAGCTTCAAATTCCAACCTCCAAGGGGAAACTTGCTTTCATCCTCTCCAAGACAAACCTATTTGTTTTCTTGGCAGTCCTTGATATGTTCAAGATTCCTCCAAAAGTCAGAATGGAGCTGTTGACAACCCCATTCTCAGGCTCCACTCACACCTGCTCTGCTCCAATGGGGTGAGGAGGAAAATGAACCTAACTTTAAAAGTGTTAACTGACTCCCTCTCTGCTCTTCCTCATCCATCACTTCTCCTCACAGTGTCCACTGATGTATGGCCTCTTGAACGCATGCTACCACCCTTCATTTGACAGAAACAAGTTAGGATCCAAATGAAGAGGCTGAGAGGACTTTCCAGTTCGAAGAGCAGGATGTAGCTATTAATGAGGTTTAGAAACTATGCACATCCTTTTGAAACATGTGTACTCTGCAGTTCAGAAAGTGTTGATGCCTTTTCAAAAATGTCCTTTATAGCATCTGACTTCCTAAACAGAATTTGGCTAACTCCTTAGCATTATCCTTCTTTGCCCCTTAATAATTGTATCTGATTATCCCTTCAGTATTATATGTCTCTTTGTTCCAATTTACTTTGTTTACTTGGGACCAACATATTTATTTTGTTATTCTGTAGTGCTGCATGTGTATTTTCAGCTGAGGATCAAGAAATTGATTATACTTTGAGCTAGAGAGTTAGCATTTAATGTGTCCTAATTGTGCCTGTTTTAACATTTCACAGAAATCAAGATGCAGTCAATCAGATGGCTGTTGCTCCTTTCCCGTTACCATCAAGTTCTCCATCTTCTGTTGAGGTAAGGTAACTTTTACTTGGTTTTGTTAGATGCTGTTATTTCAGCTCCTACTGTGATGCCGTGTTTGCAGAGTAGGTCTGATCTATCAGGTTTTCAAGCCTATGCCCTTTAAGAAGCAGATCACCAGGACTGGTTCCTAGACACATCTGAGTGGATTGAAACAACCAACCTCTTGGTTAGTACTCCAGCACTTAACCATTTATACAACCTAGGCAGGCTGTGCTGTAGAGTCAAATGCAACTCATAGCATTTCTATAAACAATAGACCCGAAGCCTGTCCTGTCCTATGTTATCATCATCTCTGACACACTAGAGCCCATTGTTTCAGTTACTATGTCAACCTATCACATTTTTCACTGATCCGCCATCTTTCTAAGTGTGATGCCCATTTCCAGGAATAATCTTTCCTAACAACATGGCCAAAGTATGTGAGATGAAGCTTCACCATCCTTGCTTCCAAGGAGCATTTTTAGCTGCATTTCCCCAAAGACAGCTGTTATTTTGGCAGTCCCTGAGCTATCCAATACTCTTCTCCAAAACCACAATTCAAAGACATCAATTCTTCTCTCATGCTTATTCATTGTCCAGTTCTCGGAGGCATAGAGAGTGATTGAAAAAGACATGACCTGAGTTAGGCAAACTTTAGTTTTCAAACTAACATCACTGTTATTCCCTAACAGTAGAGGTGCTCAGTGCAATATATCTCCTGGTCCCTTAATTACTTAGATTACCATAGTCATGAAGGGTGTTGATTGTGGATCCAAGTAAGATGAAATCATTAACAATTTAAATCTTTTCTCCATCTATCATGATTTTATTTATTCATCTGATGATGATAATTTTTATTTTGTTGAGGTTGAAACGCAATCCATGTTGAAGTTGTAGTCTTTGGTTTTAAGCAGCAAGAATTTCAAGTGTTCCTCACTTTGAGCAAGCAAGATTGTTTCATTTTGATAATGCAGGTTATTGCATTATTGTAGGTCTTCCTCTGATCCTAATTCCACATTCATCTTCATAGAGTCCAGCTTCTCAAATGATTTGCTGAGAATACAGATTGAACAGATATAGAGAAAGGGTGTAATCCTGACCCACTCCATCCCTGATTTTAACTCGTGCACTGTTTCTTTTCTTGGTTCAGATAACAGCTTCTTGGGCTGTTATAGGTTTTGCATGAGCACAATTAAGTGTTCTGGGATACCCGTTGCTATTAATGCTAGTCATACATAGTTTGTTATGATCCACATAGTCAAATGCCTTTGAACAGTCAATTAAGCCCAAATAAATCTTTTCATTTTCTCTGATGTCAGCCAGGATCCTTTTGACATCAGCAATGATAACCCCAATTCCACGACCTCATCTAAACCTTACTTGAACCTCTGGCAAGTCTCTGTCTGTGTACTCTTCTGGTTTTAGATGATCATTAGCAATATTTTGCTTGCATGTAATTATAATGGTTTTGTTGTTGTTGTTATGTGCTGTTGAGTCACCTGTGACTCATGGTGACCCTATGTACAATAGCTCTGAACCCTGCCCTATCCTGAGAGCCAGTCTCACTAACTCCAACATACCTAACCCTATGACCTCAGTTACTTTGTCAGTCCAGCTCATCCAGGATCTTCTTCTCCTGTGCTGTTCTTCCACCCTTCCAAGCATGATGTTCTTCTCCAAAAGCTGTACTCTCCTGGCCTTGTACCCAAACTATGTGAGACGAAGCTTCAAAATCCTTTCCTTCAAGGAGAAACTTGGTTTCACCTTCTCCAAAATAGATCTCTTTGTTCTCTTAGCAGTCCATGATATGATAAATAATCTTCTCCAACACCAAAACTCAAAGGTACCAATTCTTCTATCATCCTTATATCATTCTATTTTCCCCAAACCAGGCATTTATTTTCAGTATTTGGTACCCTGAATTTCTAATTTATTGGATAGGGAAATTTTTGAGATTATATTAGAATGTGTTTGAGATATAAAGTATGTAATAATAAGCACCTTGGGACTTTAACATATTAGCACTGTTGCTGTTAGTGGTTGCTTTTGAGTTAATTCTCACTCAGGCAACCTTGTAAGAGTAGAATCTCTTCATAAAATTTTCTTGGCTTTAATCTTTACAGAAGCAAATTGCTATGTTTATTTTTCCATGGAACCCCTTCAGTGAGTATAACCACAAAACTTTCAGTTACAGACAGGATTCCAGAAGGAATCCAGCAGGATTCCTTCCTCGAGTTACCTTCCTCTGGTTTCTTCCAGGGTTCTTCTAGATATCTAATGTTGTCCTTATTCGATATTCCAGCATTTATTAGGAAATTGCAACTTTTGTTCCTCAATTACACACTTTTGCTTGTGGTTTTGAAATACTAGTACCCATACAGATGTCACCTGTAACCTGATGTACCTCTGAACCCTGACCTATCCTGAGCCAATCTCATTAACTCTGACACACCTACCCCCAAGACTCCAGTTACTATGTCAATCCGTCTTATTTGGGGTCTTCAGTTAAAAATAATTAGATTTTTTTTTCTCCTAATAGGAACATTACTAGTAATATAAGTAAGTTCTCTCGTAAAATAAGTTCTCTGTCATGCCTTTCTGCTTCTCAGATTGCCTATATATAGTATCTGTGTCTCCTGAGATGAAGGAATTTTAATTATTTTTAAAAATAAATATTTAGTCATTTAACATACATCATTGCTACTACTAAAATATATTCAGTAAGTATATGTAATATGCAAAGTACCACTTGGTACCATTTAGGGTGATAGATACATGGCTGTGAATAGGCCCCCTGCCGTGGTTCTTCTCAGATTCTAAAGATATAAAAAAAATAACAAATTAACAAGTAAATAAACTGAGAAAATTATCAGACGGTGGTCACTGCCTTTCCAAGAATTAGGACAGGATGACCTTTTAGTAGGGTGAGAATTAAAATAGGTCACTTCGTAGTGATGGCCTCATAGACTAGGTGAACTTTAAAGGCAAGCTAAATGATAACAAGGATGCTTTAAATATATAATCCTAAGCCTCACTTACATTCACTGTAAAACACAGTGTTATTAATTTTCCATTTTAAAAAAGGAGAGGCTGAGGACTCCCACTGCTGTCCAATCAGCATAGTGAACTTCTTTCAAGTTCTCAAGGCTGTAAATCATAATAGAAGGAGATTTTCAACGGTTTAAATCTTAATAGAAGGAGACTGGCCATCTTTCTCTGTGGAGTAATTGGTGAATTTGAATAGCTGAAGATCCCATTATTGTTGCTGTTGATTGCCTTTGAGTCGAGGATGACTCATAGTGACCCTATGAACAAAAGGCTTGAAACACCTCTACAGTTATAGACATTTATCAAAGTTCATAGAGTTTCCAGAAGCATGTTATTTAGGAAGTGGATGTCACTCCTGCTTCCAAACCTGTCATGTTATTGTATGTTTTTGTTGTGATGTGCCATTGAGTTGTTTGCACTGTATAGCGACCCTATGTACAGCAGCTCTGAACCCTTCCTTGTCCTGATCCAGCCTCACTAAATCCCACACACCAGCTCCTATTGTCCCAGTTACTGTAGCAATCCATCTCATCTGGGATCTCCCTCTCCTGCACTATCTGTCCACCCTTCTGAGCATGATATCCTTCTACGACCGATCTCTCCTGGCCACGTGCCCAAAGGAAGAGGGTCGGAGCTTCAAAATCCTAGCTTCCAAGGAAAGACTTCGTTTCACCTTCTCCAAGACAGACCTGTCTGTTTTCTTGGCAGTCGATGGTATGTTCAAGACTCTTCTCCAGCACCACAACTCAAAGGCATCTATTCTTCTTCTGTCATTCTTGGTCATTGTCCAACTCTCTGAAGTATAACAAGTAATTGAGAAGACCATTGACCTGAATTATACACACCTTTGTATCTAGACTGACATCGTTGCTCTTCAGCACTCTGAGAAGTCCATGACAGCAGAATTTCCCAATGCAATTCATCTTTTGATTTCTTAACTGCTGGTGTTAAGAGTGTTGATTGTGGATTCAAGCAAGTTGTAATTGCTAACCACCTCAATCTTCTCCATCTGTTATGGTGCTTCCAATTGACCCAGTTGTGAGAATCTTTGTTTTCTTGATGTTGAGCTTCAATCCATATTGAAGACTATAGTCCTTGACTTTTTGCAGCAAGTGCTTCAGGTCTTCTTCAGTTTCACCAAGCAAAGTTGTGTCATCTGCATATCATAGGTTGTTAATGAGTCTTTCTCCAATCTTGATGCCACACTCATAAAGCCCTGCTTCCCAAGTGATCTGTTCTGCATACAGATTGAAAAGTTATGGGGACAGGACACACTCTTTTCCTGATTTTGAACCATGCAGTATTTTCTTGCTCTGTTCTGAGGACTGCTTCTTGGTCCAAGTATAGATTTCATGTAAGCACGATCAAGTGTTCTAAGATTCCCATTTTCCTCAAGGTTAGCCACAATTAGCATCCTCATATCTTATATATTGCAGAAATAATTTACTGAGAAGAGGTGCACTACTCAGAATCCTCTTCCTCATCTGTACTGGAGGTTTTACCACCAAATTGACATTGAGTTGTCATACAAAATCAAAAAATAATATAAAGCACCTAGAACAGTCTATGTTGGCTGGAGCTTCCCGACTAAATCAAGCTTGGAAGCAGGAGCGGCATCCACTTCCAAAATGGCTTGCCTCTGGAAACTCTATGTATGAACAGTGCTCAGGCTGTTCATTCATAGGGTCGCTATGAGTCGTCTACGACTCGACGGCATTAAACAACAACAACAACAGAACAGTCTATAACACAAAATAAGTGTTCACTTAAACCTTTTGTTTATTCAAAAGTATAAATATATCCTCAGTATATAAGTATATCATACAATTTTGGTTATTTTTTATCATTTTTTAAATTGTATGACTACAAAGATCATAACTAAGGAAGTAGTAAAAAGTAAACAAATTTTACTAATCCATCAGTAGTAATTGCTTGGGGAAAATCTGCTTTTAAGGTCCTCTCCA